TTTGGTTTTTTTTTTTTTTTTTTTTTGTGTGTGTGTGTGTGTGTGTTTTGTTTTGGGACAGGGTTTCCTTATGTAGTTCAGGCTGGCCTTGAACTCACTGCATATCCCAGGCTGGCCTCAGATGCACAGCAATCCTCCTGCCTTGGCCTGGGCTTACAGGCGTGCCCTCACAGTGCATGGCTTCCTACATTAATTTTTATGCTCACTTAGCTTGGAGGCTCAGTTTTATTTTATTTTTATCAGTTAGATAACAATAGCTGTCTACTGCCAGAAATTATAAGGTTGGTATGGTATTCCTGGCCAGACCACTGTGAATGTGCCAGATCTCATCTGATCTCAGAAGCTGTGAAAGCTAAGCAGTGTCTGGCCTGGTTAGTGAGATGACAGTGGATGAGAGATGATATCTAACTCTTAGAATATTTTGAGGACTGAATGTGAAGCCTAAGGATGCAGCACTTGAACAAAATATGCCACCTGTTACTGGTACTACCTAAATGTTATCAAAACCATACAAAGTCATAGATATAGACTTCATGAGGTATGTCTTGAAGGATAACATTAAATGAAAGCTCAGCTCTAGTAAAAAGTCATCATAATTGTTGCTTTATCGTTTTTTGCCTCTACCACTTCCTCTTACGATGCCTTTTCTTTTGCCTCTCCTTTCACTGTCCACAGGCTTTTGGTTTTCAATTCCGTTACTGTTAAGCATAGTTTCCCTGGTAATTCTCCTGGTCTTAATCTCAATCTTACTATACTGGAAACGTCATCGGAATCAGAACCGAGGTAAGTCACCCCAGGGAATACAAGTGAAATGATTTCAACTTGGGGGTCGCCTGAATATAAGTAAGGGGATGGCAACAGTGTATTTTATTTGTTATTTTCAACAGAAATATTGATGCCCTTTGTAAAATGTTTCAAGGTAATTTTCTTGCCTTTGGACATTCCTCCCACTCTTTTGCTAAGGCATTTTAAATGTTAATTATTTTATAGCTGAGAGTAAGTGTTCATGAGAAGAAATGAAGAGAACGTTTATTTGATCACAATGGGTCATTTGATGGCAGAAACAAAGGAAGAAGTCTGGCACCCATGCAGGGTGCTCTCTTCTTGTTAATAAGGACAATCTCTTTTCTTTTTACAGCACTCCACAGGCCAGATGCCCATTTAAGAGACTGTGAAATTGTTCAGTACGATCACTCATTAAATAACACTTCCTATGTCACACTCCCATGATGTCTCAAACACTATCGGCAGCATACAGGTGATCCACACTTCTAGTAATCGTGTCATGTCATTCTGCCCATCCAGGCTATAATTTTTTCTTTATCCCCCACAACATCTATCATAGCATCTTATATATACCAAGTGTTCAATAGATGTTAAATTATTGAATGAATTAATGAAGGGGAAATGGATACATTTTCAAAATGGTTTTCTTCAATTCCTTTGCTCCCACTGTAAATTCAGTATCTCATCAGTGCCTACTTTCAGATATTATGAGACATTTAACACAAGAGATGTGACCTATATAGAAAGAATTAAATGTCTTGAGCACAAAGTACTGAATACAGAGGTGAAATTTATGGTATAAGAAATGGGAAGTTACGAGGATTAAGGGGTAATATGGGAGTTCCCTCCATCTTAGATATCTGAAGATCAGGGATTAGGATAGAAAAAAATATATTTAATTGTAGTGTTATTTTAGATTTTGGTTTAAAATATCCCTTAAATTCTAAACTATTTTCATTTTATATTTCATAGACTATATCTTTCATGTTCTAGGTTTTTCGTTTTACTATTTTACTTTGCATGAGCTTTATATAAACACCAGACTAATTCTTGTGAATTTACAAAACAAGAGCAGCTCTTCTGTGTCAGTGGCCCTTTTGTAAAAATAAAGGTATTTGTTCTGTTTGAAAGAAGCAATTACAGATCAGATAACCTTATTGCATGTAAACCTAAGCTGCTAGAACTCATAATCACGTCACAGAATATCAAAGGCAGAAATCTTTCTTATTCTATTTTATCCAAATCTTTCACTCTTCCAATTAGGACGTGATGCCTAGAAAAGAAGTCCACTTCTTTCTCTAGGATCACAACGATCATTAAACAGGACTACAACCCTTGTCTCTTGACCTCTAGCAGAATGGTTTTTCCATCATTACTGATTCTGTGGTACAGTGACTTGAAAGGAAATGTTGTTATTAGTTGTACACACTTTAATTTATCTTATTGTACTATTCTTTTGGAAAGTACAAGAAGAAAAGTATATTCAAATTCATGTTGAAAAGTCCCTCTTGGACATTTCTCATAGTGCAGTCTATTCAAGCCCAAGGTAAATTCCAGTAGACAGGGGTATTTTGTAAAGTAATTGCCCTTTGTTGATTAAGCAAGTCTTGGGTTTTGGAGCTATGTAATTGTTCAGAGCCTTATCTAATTCTTGAAGCAAAAAGAGCCAGTTTGTCTTGCTGCCAAACTTTTTTCTCATTTATGAAATAAAAAACAAAGAAGAAGGGAAAGATTAATTTGGGCTTGGATTTATCGAGTGTAAAAAAGAATCATATTTGTGGAGCTGCTCAGTAGCCAGTAAGAGAATTTGTTAAGTAAAGTCAACTTTTGTTTGTCAAAACAAAGCTAACTGTAGATCATAGTCACTATTCATTAACCAGAAAAGTGTAAAAAGATTTATAGTTTCTGCCTAGAAGAGTAATCTCTAAAGGATGGCCCTGTCTTTGCGTGGAAGTTAGTCTCCCTTTACTCTTATGAGTGTGTAATGACAGAGAGTACCATGTAGGTTTATGAGCCATAAAGCTACACTCTGGGGGAAGGTCTGATGAGTTAACAGGACATATTTCTGTTCTATTCCTGATAGGATCATCAGAGTTATTTCCCTGGAGGCTATCATAATAAGACTAAGAAACTTTCAAAGAATATGCCTTTTTCCTTCATGAATCCAATGCTTTACTATTGAAACAGAAAATGAGAAAGAATTAAAATTTCCTAGGGAAATTTTCTACCATCTCATAATGGTTCTTTATATTAAAACTCAGTGATGTCATAAATTTCTGCCTTCCCCACATGGGACCATGGAGTCAAATCTGAGGCTGAGAATAATCTTTCATTTCTCATTAATCGACCCACCAATGATTATTACATGTTCCTCAGAAATAACATAAAAAGCTTCACTTTGGAAAAGATCAACATAGACTATCACCTGAATTTTTTAACTCATTTTGAGTGGATATTGTCTTGTAATAATGTTAGTTTTATCACTTTTTTCTGGGTGATAGCACAGTACTTCCTCCTCTTTTAAGCTCCTTGCTGTGTCACATGGCAAAAGCTTTCAGTAAACAATTTGTGGTGGTAAAACTGGTCATTCATTGGAAGGACAATAAAAGAACTTTCAGTTTATGGTTGTAACACCTCCAGGAGTCAAGTCATCTCAATCTCCTGCTGAGCAATTAAATGATAGCTTAGCTCACAAATGCACATTAATTCTCAGTGTCAATATAGATTCACTCATGAAAAATCTCACCATTCCATGATAAATCAGATTTAAAAACTCTCTAGAAGAGAACCTTTTTCATTCTTTATCCCACTTCTAGAAATACCCACATTCCTTGTGCTTTTGGCCTCTTGTATCTGCAAAGCTAGCAATGGCTGGTTAGGTCTCTCTTATACTGAAGCACTCTCTGGCTCCCCTGCTTCCCGCACTCCATTATAAGGACTCAAGTGATTACCTTGGTCCATATTATAACCCAAGACAATCTCTCCATTTCAGAATTTCTAATTTATCATATGTGAAATGTTATGCAAAATGACACATTCACGGATTCTTGGAATTAAGATATGGACATTTGGGGGGACCAGTGATTTGCTACTACAAATACTACAAGAGGGTGGGTGTGAGCTGTGTAGAGGACAGCTGTTAACTGACTGCCAAGTGCAAGCATGTTGTTTCTAGGATTGCATGGCCTTAACTTTGTTTGTGGAAACAAAATAACACTACATCAAAGAACCAAAGAACCTGCTCATACAACTTCTGAATACATTGCTTTGACTTTCTTTTCATTTTCCATCTTCTGCCAGTAAGGCAAGACTTCATTTTTAAAGATCTTTCAAGATTCTATGTTTCTCTGAAGTCTATAATGTCAAAATATTACTTTTACTTTTTCCCATTCACTAGTCATCACTAACTGTAAATTTACAAAACCTAATTATTTTAGCCTGGATTTTAGTTATTGCATGTTTCCTGCTTCTCTCTAGTTGCATCCCATTCTCAGAGGCAAGTAATTCTGACATCCTTTGATATCTTAGTTTTAGATAGGTAAGTCCACTGAATTCTCTGAGAAAGACCAAGATATAAAAATTATATTTATCACTCTACATAGTGACATCATGCATAGCCAAATCAATCTTTCTCCATTTATCATAGCTTATTAAAATAGAGTTCCCTGCAGCCCTAGTGCCTGCAGTTTTACATTATGAAGCCATTATAGATTTTAGGATTCTCAACATTTTCTATATAATTCTTAGAATCCTTTAAAATTCCTACCTATAGAACTAAATTGATTCCAATTGTCCATATGCATTAGAACCATTCTCTCATAACAAAAAAAGCAAAAAAATAGATTTAATTAAATATATCAAGTCCAAAAATCATAAGAAATAAAAGAAAATTAAGAAACCTCAGTATTTGACATAATTTAAGTAATAAATTTAGTCTTCTACAATAATCATATTGTTAAAAATATAATTTCTCCAGAATGAACAAATGAGATTTTGCAGTACAAACATGCAAGAAAAGCTTTGCAAAAGTCACCTCAGTATTAAATACTGCATTCATGAGCAATAATGATAAATATTTCTTATAACAAGAGGATGCTACTACAGAAGAGCCTCTTGCTCTTCTTACAAGACAGAATTTCAGTAAGACTGCTTCAATTATCTAGTTCTGAGTGTCTGTGGTCACTGCCTTGTAACTCTCCAACTTTCTTCCATAGTTACAACCAACCAAGAGAAAAGACTAGCTCATTGTTTTGTAAGTCTTTAAATACTATAAACACTTCTTTTTAATATTTAAAAGTATTTAGCATTAGCTTTTATTATTTTTTTAATTAGCAAATAAAAATTATATGTATCTATGACATACAACATATTTGTCTATAAATATATACATTATGAAATGGCTACATCAAGCTAATAAACACATCAGTTACTCATGTACTTATCTTTTTTTGCGGGGGTAGTGAGAAGACCTAAAATCTGTGCTCTTGGGTAATTTTCAAGTTAAAAAAAAAAACATTGTTTCTATAGTCACCACATTATACAATAAAATTTTTGAATTTATTTCTCCTGTCTAACTAAAATTCTTTTAACCAAAACTGCATGAAATAATTGCAAAATTAAATATAGCATTCTATTTCTATTAACTGTCACTATCTCAGCAAGGATGATTATAAATGGTATATAGAATTGATTACTTTCCTATCAGTCAGTTTTATTAACAGCTATGACCAATTGCTCAGTGATTTTGATCAACTTCTGTCTCTGCAAATTCACAGACTAACTTCAGGAAAGCCATTTAATCTGTGCTTCTCTTTATTTGGAAGATGAGGACGATCATTTTGTCTATCTCATAAGAATATTGTGAAAACTGGGCTAGTGATTTAGCTCAGTGGTTCCACCACCTGCCTCGCAAGTGCAGGGACCCAAGTTGGATCCCTGGTACCAAAAAACAAAAAAAACAAAAAACAAAAAACATGAAAATGTTGTGAAGATTAAAAAGAATATGTACAATTACACAAGTGCCCAAAATGAATATTGTGCTGGGAAAACCAGCTTGAGGAAGTTGATGGGGTTGTTTTTGCCACCCTTTGTGGTGAAACATTTCCACCATGGTTAATGTCAAGCTATCAATAGATTAACCGTCAGTGTAAGTCAGTAGGACTCTTGCGTACCCATGCCATATAGTAAGTTTCCATAAATGTTAATTTCTGTTATTGTTAGGTCTAAGATCCTTGTTGGATTTATATTTTCATGAATGGTACAAATAATGGAGGAGAGGAAAGTGTAAAGAGATAAATGGAGGGAAAGGTAATGGAATTATAGCAGGCAGACATTCAGGTAGAAGAGCTCAGAAATTATTGGGACATATGGGCAGGAGAATTCAGAAAGGTGAACTCATTAGTCATTTCTCTAGTAGTTTTGAGCAGAGTTTAGAGTGAAAATAAGCCAGCATGGGAGAAAGGATTAGAAAAGACATGTGCCAAAATCCTGAGTGTACTGAAATGAACTTGTAATAACTACAGTTGTAATGTTATGTGTTTCTTTCTGAAGAAAGGGAACTGTTTTGATTAGACCTTTGGGTTTGGGAAGGTTTTGATGTTAGGGTGAGAAAAGTAGTTATTTTCTAAAGTCAGCACAAGTCAGAGCAGAAAGAAGGAAATTACTACTGTAGGGATGTGTGTGAATGGGTTTCCAGGAAACCAAAACTGCCACTGCCAGGAAGAACATTTGTTTAAAGTGGCTTTTGATGCCCAACCCCACTGACGCATGGATACAGTTCCTTCTGTCCTTAGTTTGACTTAGCTGTACTATTCTCTCCATCAAACAATTGTTTCTTCTTTTATTCTGCATACCTTAAACACTCCTTATGGTTTCTTTTCTCTCATAACAATGGTTCATAGATGACCCAATTTTAAAAAGTGTATATTCTTATCCCATACACACAACATCAGTTAGAATCTCTAGGCATGAATATCACTTTTCTGAGGGGAAGGGAGCATATAGACATATTTAGTATAGAAATGTAATTTTAGAAAAAGAAAAATCTTTTCTAACCAAATGCAAAATCAAAGAATTAATCAGTCAAAAACAGGCTTAAAAGATTTAAAAAGAAGAAGAAAAAGAAAACTAACATCCTAATGCTCTTTAAAGAAAATCATGCTATTATTTGATAATTATTCTGAATTTTAGTCAGTAGTTAGGTCTTACAAAAAAAATTGTGAATTCTTTGATTGCTAATTGGTAATCCAAAATGAATATTCTTAATAATTAGGGGCAAAATGCTTAGATTTCACAATTGAAAACTTTGGAGGTGGGAATGTGATTGGATAAGAAAGACAGAAAGAATGTTCTTAAATATTTACATGTACCTTCATGTGACAAAAGGACTAGACTTCCTAGAAAAAAATCATATAATACCTACAATTCTCACAGCAACCTATGAGGAAGATGTTGCTATTTCCATCTCATAGATGATGAAACCAAGTATCTCAGATATTGTTTATTCATTCAATTTACAAATATTTATTAATGTTTTTCAAGTGCATTGAAATTAGCATGGATTGTATTGCAGTGACTAATACAGGACACTACCACTCAGATGGAGATTACCAACTAGAGGCAAAGAAACAACAAGTGAACTAACAAATAATGATATATTATTAAACATGAGAATGTTCCTTAAGGAAATAATGTATAACATACAACAAAAGAGAATAACTTGAAGAGGAAACTATAGCTGATGTTAGAAATGTTGTTTTCTTTCTGAAATATGCAGAACTTTGCAGTTCCTGGTAAAGAGTAACCTAAGGTTATACAGAGGGTGACAGGTAGTACCACGATAAAATTCTGTTTTATTTCATTGTTTACATTCCTTGTAGCTAGGCCTGAGTCCTCCCAGTTTCTATTTTAGAAAAGCAGTACCTCTTGAAAGGATTCTATCTACTACTTTGTGACCATTCCTAACCTGCTGTCCAGCAAATTAGTATCCATAAGAAACAAAGCTCAAGGTATTAATGAAATGCATGTAGATAATTTGACATTCTTGAACATGTCTCTTTACTTGTGGTCTTATGTGATTCTTAAAACAACTATTTCCTGAGATTATCCATGTCATTTTAAAGAAAATCATTGTCCTCTCACATCACATTGGATTAGGAATGTCTATATCCTTGTCCTTACCAATGAAATATATTCAGGAGATTTCTAACTTTTTCAACCCTTTGGTTTAAAATATACTAAGACAGAAATTATGAATATTCAATATCCTAATTCAAAGTATAAGGGAGCTGGACTAGAAAATTCGTTGTGCATCTTTAGAATCGATGTAATTCCAGGAAAGCAAACCTAGAAGTAAAAGTGAAAAAGAAGAAAAAATACAGAAAAGTTAATATATTGGTCTTTCTTTTATCCAGAGGCCTAGAGGAGTTACACAGAATCATGAAAGTTTTTCTCTGGTCTACTTGAATTTGATGGAAGAGGATAACAGGAGGAAAACTGGTCATTCTCCAAGGGATCTAGAAGTGCAAACAAGGTGGAAGCAAGTGTTTTAAGAAATCTGTGACTTTTCTCTGCCATTTAAACTACACAGTGTTTGAATTCTAACAGGAAGTCTTTTACCTGTCAGGCCTGTCGTAGGACTTGATTTTGTAAAGCAGAGCTGCACTGATATTGAAAGGTTACTGGACTTAGAATTTGGAGCACTGAGCTCACAGACTGGCTGAGGATCCTGCAGGTGGGACCCCTAAGTTAGTGACTTTACCTCATTGAGTTTCCATGTCCTTACCCAGAATAGAAAGGAATTGGACCAAATAATTTACCATGCAGTTCTACGAATTGATGTAATTACAGGAAAATGAATAAGTCAAGGAAGACATAAAAAGAGAGAAGAATACAGTAAGGTCCAAAAAACCTTTCTGAAACTACCTTTTGCCTTCCTGTTGGTGTTATGTCTCTTGTATGCCTTTTTGTTCTTGGGTCTGTGAGTCGATTTCCCCATGATTTGTTACCTAGTCCACTCCCTGCTAGCTGTCTTGCTAATCAATGACCCTGCTGCAACCCTTGATTTCTCTGCCATTCTTCATGTGCTTCGCGAAAGTTTTATCATGTGGACAGAATATATTGTGAAATAACATTAACAATCTTATCTATTTAACTTATTTTTATAGAAAGATAAATACTGTTAGCGTTAGACAATAGCTCACTATTTAAAAGAAGCATGTATCCCTGTCTATTTGTCTCGTACTATGACCCCACCCCTGTTTTAGGTCATTCTGAAGTCAGCCTAGTATAATGAAAATATATTATGAAAACATTTAAGATATTTCCTGCATGGCTGTCAGCTAATTCACATGCTTGGTCTCTTCTGGCTTCTTTTTACGTGAGTTAACTTTTCACAAAAGAGAAAGAGACAAGTATGAATATATATAATCCCTTTGTTTTTGTTTTTGTTTTTTTTCTCTCATTGAGTTTATTGGTGCATTTTAGGTATACAGTACAGTTACATCCATCATTAGGACCTTGTACCTTTACATGACAGGTCTTGGTTCTCATTTTTTCCCCTTGTCCCTGCCCTCCCTTCACCCCCTCCTCCCCTCCCCATTTACAAATACTTTATTTCCATTTTTTTCATTTTCTCATATTTTTTTCTTTTCCCTTATTACCTTTCCCCTACCCTTCCCACTTTCCCTACGCCTTTAGCCCTTTCTTCCTATTTCACATTGTCCATTATATCATTAACAATCCCTTTGTTTTAAAAGTATTTTCCAATTAATAAAACAAATACTGATTTCATATAACACCAAATTAGTGAGGTTTTCCCCAGTATCTTTTGCTTCTTCTGTGTTTATTCAGTGACCTAGGAATTAAAATGTATGTTCATTTTAAACCAGTACTCCAGAAAAATTTAAACAGTATCCTAGGCAATGAGGGTCACAACCCAACGAAGCCCAACAGAATGAACCCATCAAGCAAGACAAGAAAATAAATGCAAAGGGGAAGAATCCAACAACAGGAAAAGGTCGTGACATAGTTAAGTCAATATATGTTATAAACATCAGTGTTAGTGATCTCAATTCACCAATCCATAGAAACAGACTGACAGAATGGGTCAAGAAGCAAGATCCAAAGCCACGCTGCGTATAAGAAACAATTCAAAAAGAAACTCCTAGACTGAACGTTAATGGGTGGAAAACAATACTCCTTGTGAGAGGAATCCCCCCCAAAAAGCAGGAATATCTATCCTATTTGCAGATAAAATGGATTTTAAACCTACTTGTTTTTGCTAATTTTTTTTTTTGCCTGGTATTGGGGACTGAACTCAGGACCTTGAGCTTGACAACCAGGTAAGGTGCCACTAAGCTACCTCCCCAGCCCAGCTTTTGCTAATTTTTTCAGTAATAGTTTTAGTAGGAGTGGTGATAGTGGTCTTGTTCCTCATTTTAGAAGGAAAGTTTTTCAGTTTTTCCCCAATTACTATGATGTTGGCAGTAGCTATTTTATCAGATTGAGATTACGTCCTTCTATACTAAAAAAAATGTGGTCATTTTCACTGTTGAATATTTAAGCTTTTTGTGAGTTATTTAATTCTGTATTATTTCGTACATTTGTATTAAAATATTGAGCAATTAAAGGTATCAGTTCTAAATATTTAATTTATGGCATTCTCTTGGAAAATGTAGAAATGAACAGTAATTCTTGTATTTTTCTCTCTGTGTATGAAACCCTCCCCTCACAGTTGAGATTTCTGATTAATCACAAAATCTCCAAAGGTCTCTGATCTGACAGAGTGATCTCCTTCTGTGCAGCGCCTGTGTCCTTTTGTCCTGTTGCCACCAGATGCGGAGTACTTCAGTATGTTTGCTGTTTTGATTCTCCTTTTAGATACTCACTTTCACAAATTGATTGGCTCACACAGTTTTACATTTACCAGGAATCATCATTCTCTGTTTTACCACATTTCTGGTATTTCAGCTGAACTGGTTCCAGATCAGACAAAATAATCAAATGCAGCAATTTTCAAACACTGTAGTCTCAGGAGCCCATTATGCATGTAAAATATTGTAAAAATATTGAAGATCCTCAGAGAGCTTTCTTTTTGTAAAGAGGGCTATGTCTGTTGATAGATACCACATTTGGAATAAAAACTGAAAAGTTTTAAAAGCAAAAATATGCAAGCTTGCATGGTCTTAGATGTCAGAGTATAGCCAACATCATATATCACATAACTTCTGGAAAACTCCAGGGCCCTCTTGAGAGAGAGTGAGTGAAAAGGGCAAATCATGTATTGGTGCTATTATGACAATGACTTTAATTCCAAAGACTCCCTGAAATGGTCTTGGTGTCAATATTAAACACTGCTGAATCAAAATATAGGTAAAAGAGGCTACCTTATGAGATTTTATGAGCCTTTCTCAAAGTAATTCCTTCCTAGACTGCCATCTTCACAGTACCTAAACATTTTACTGTTCAGTCAGCACTTACTTTTTTTGTGGGGTTACCGGGGATAGAACTCAGGTCCTTGTGCTTGCAAGGCAGGCTGCAGAACCACTGAGCTAAATCGCTGGCCCAACACTTACTTTTTAGGCCATTGCCTTTCAAAGGCCGAAGAGACCTGAGACTAATTCTTATTCATCACTAATAATTTAATTTAAAGTGGTTTATTAAATGGCTCACTGTTGAGACACTAGGATTTAGGCCTGGTATGCTTAATGGGGACCTGGGAAGGGCATAGAGAAACAGAGCGGAAGGAAGGGGTAATTCAGATGTCTGTCTGAGAACGTGGGTCAGCATGCCACGCTGCAGTCTGCCATCTCCCCCACAGCCCCTGCCCACCCACCCCTCAGGAAGCTCACCAACCCTCCCGCACTCCTCATCACACACTTTCAGTTACAAGTGCTTTTTTTGTACTTGTGAATTAAAAAGAGGCAGCTCAGACTTCGAATGTTTAAGCAAAACTGGGAAAGTTGTAAACTTTTGAGACAATTCATGTAATACAATCACACATTTCTTAGTAAAGTTTCAGAAAAATTCCAGGGTGATGTTAAACTTACTCAGGCGGGAAAACGAAAGAAAGCTTCTGCGCTGAACTAAAACTGAAACTGAAACAATAGAGAGCTTTCTTTTCTTACTGGGATTCATCCATAACTAGCAAGATAATTCACAAATCTAGGTTCAAAGAAAACTAAATCCGCATTACCACTAGGAATTACCAGCTTTGGTTAAAACATTTTCCTGAGCCAACTTTCTTTTATGGCAGAGATGGCGAACCTTTTAGAGACTGAGTCCCAAACCTCAACCCAAAACCCATTGATTTATCACAAAGTGCCAATACTGCAATTAAACCTGAACACTGCGATTTTAGTTTAGAAAAAACATCTCTACATCTTAACATCTTTTGTTTTAAAGGGAAAATATGGTAACGTGTTTGCTGTAGGTTTGCTACCACTGTTCTATAGTTGTGATTAACTAATCAAAAAAAGGATTCCATCTTTTCAAATAAAGCTTTCAGAATTGTTTCCTTATAACTGTAATATTTTTGTCTTTTTAATTTTTAAATTTATTCTCAAAATATCTCAGATTTGATTTTTGCACCTCCTTCCTCTTCGGTTGCTTATGTTATTTGACATGTGCAAGGTCACCTGACACAATTTAAGCACATCAGCATTTGCAGACACCACACTTACTTGAGCCCTGTGAGGTGGGGAGTTGTTTAATCCCATTTCTGTGGGGGTAAAAAAGGAAAATCTTCAGGTTTTTCAATAGCTTTATTCAGGTAGCACTGTACATGTTTAATGGAACTGAAACTCCAGCTCAGAATCCCAGGCACCTTGTGCATTGTCCTTTCTTTCCCCTCCTCTCACTACTGTGACTCACCTCCTATTTATCAGTGTATGCTGTTTGCTCTGTCAATATATTCAGAGTCTGTCTCCTGCCTCCAATCCAACCTCCTGTCCAAACCATCATCATCTTTTTCCTAAGTTGTTGCAATAGCTTTCTAATCAATCTTCTGCTGTTGCTTTCTCTTCCTTACAGTTTATCTAAACCCAGCTGTTGAAAAATATACCAAAACAGATTACATCTTTCTTTTTGCTAGCAAATACTTTTGATACATAATAATTACCTTTATGTTGGGGAAATGGTACACACATATTATCACATTTTAAGTATTTTAACGTTCCTTCCCTTTCCTGTCTAAGTGCTTCCTACTTTACCTATAATAGTAGCCAAAGTCTCTTCACGGACCAGGAAGGGGCTCTTGATACTGATTTGTTTTCTTTCTTTCTTCCTTTTTTCCTTTTTTCCTTTCTCCTTCCCTCTCTCCCTCCCCCACTCCCTGTCCTTTTCCTTCCTTCCTTCCTTCCTTCCTTCTTTCTTTCTTTCTTTCTCATTTTTCCCCTCCCTCCTTCCTCCCTTCCTTCTTTTCTTCATTTTTTTTTTTTTTTTTTGTGTGTGTGTGTGTGTGTTTCTGGGAATTGAACTTGTGACACCTCACATGCTCAACAAGCCATCTACCACTGAACTAGTACATCCCGATCCCCTTCCTGATACTCTGAAATCAATTTTTACTGTTCTTTGATCTGTAGTCATCCTATTTTTCAACCTGTGTTCTAAGTCCTTAGCACTTGGTCTTCTCTTCTTCAGTGCTTTTCCTGCAGGTAGTACATGGCCCATATTTTCTCTGACAAACACACCTTGTCTCCCACTCCCGCTTCATTTTCCTCCGTTGACCCCCATCACCATTTAATACACTACATGCTTTCCTTGTTTTCTTTATTATATGTATTCTTCCAATAAAATGTAAGCTTTATAGAAGGCAGGGATATTTTTATTGATTAATTTTTGTGTGTAGGATACTACTAGCAAATTAACCTAGGGCCTGCAAAA